TACAGGGTTACTATGGGTCAGCACCGACTCAATGGCACTTAACAGCAACAATTATTGGTGACATAGGTATTTATTATAGTTATTTCCTCTTGTTCAATTGAACCTTTAATCATGAGATAATATCCTTCTTTGTATCTTATGCTGGTTTTTGTCTTAAAATCTATTTTATCAGAAATCAATATTGCCACTCCTGCTTGGTTTTGATTGCCATTAACTTGGTACATTTTTTTCCTCTCCTTTGATTTTTAAATCTATAGACAGCATAGTGAAGGATCCTGTTTTCTTATGCTTTCTGCTACTCTCTGTCTCTTGACTGGTGCATTTAATCTATTGGCATTTAGTGTAATTATCTATAGGTATGAATTGATTATAGTCATTTTTCTGTGAGATTTTGCTTTGCTGCTAGTTTATTTATGCCACATAATTTGTGTGTGTGCTGAGTTCCTTCTGACTGTAAACTTTCTTGTCAGTTTCTTCAAAGCTGTATTTTTAATGTTTACAAAATCTTCATAGTTTTCCCTTTTCTTGATTTGATGTTAAATTGCATTAACTTTCTTTCAAGTTGCCCTGTAATTTATCAGTTTCTTTCTCAGTTTAAAGAAATCTGTTTTATCTTGAAATCTACTAGATTTCCACACCATCTGGAAGTTCTACAACTGTACTTTTCCCTCTTTATGCTTTATAGTTGTCTTCAAGATAAATCAATATCCTCTGGTTCCTTATTTTTGGTCTTTTAACTTGTTTTACTTTGAATACTTCTATTGAATTCAGGGAGGTGCTGCCATGTGTGTCAATGTCCAGTTGTTGTCTGCTTTTGTTGGTTCTAAGTCCAAAGGACTCCTTTTCATGTTTTTTGTAGCGCTTATCTAGTTGTTACAAACTCCTTTAATTTCTATTTATCTGGAAATGTTTGAATTTTGCCATCATATTTTAGGGATAGTTTTGCTAAGTATATGACTATTGGTTGGGCTTTTTTTTTTTCTTTTAGAGTTTTGTATATGTCTTCCCATTGCCTTCTTGCCTGCATTATTTCTACTGAGAAATCAGAACTTAATCTTATCGGTTCACATTTGTAGATAACTTTTAGTTTTTTTGGAACTGCACTTGGGATTCTCTCCTTGTCTTTTGTTTTTGGAGAGTTTGATTATGATATGCTTTGGTGATTTTCTTTTGGGGTTTATTCTGTTTGAGTTTCTTGCAGTTTCTTAGATGTTTATAGTCTCATCTTTCATGATGTTAGGGAAGTTTGCTTCCACCATCTCAGTATATTTTCAGTGTTTTACTTTGTCTCTTTCTGTTTTGGATTTCCACTCACCAGTAAGTTATTCTTCATATTGTCCCACATGAATTTTAGTCTCTCTTTGGACTTTTTCATTCTTTTTTCCAATTGTTATTCTAACTTACTAGCATTGAGAGATTGGCATTTAAGCTTACTAATTTAGGCTTCCACTGATTCAATGTATTGCCCATTTCTGAAATCTTAGTATTAATCTGTTTAAATGTCTTTTTAAAAGGTATTGTTTCCAATCCTTTATTTTTCTTGTTTGCTTGTTCTTGTAATATTTTCATGAATTTTTTCCTTCCATTCATTGGCCTTTATGTCAATCATTTGTAGGCACCAAGTATCATTCTCTTGATTGTTTTTCAGGTAGTTCCAAAGCCTTTTTTTTCCCTCAAAACTATTTTCTAGCTCTGCCTTTGGTCGCTTGTTCAAATCTTTCAGCCTTGTTACTTGCTTCGTGTGAACAGAAATGAACTCCAAGATGTGTTGCTTCTAAGACATTGTATTGTTGTAGTATTTCTATTAAATTGTTGATTGTATGTTGGTGTACTTTTAGACATTCACCAACTGCCTTCTAGTGGGTGTGAGTAGGGCATGGAAACCTGTGTACAGTTCTCTAGTTGCTATTCATGCAGTTCTGTTTAGGATGGGTTTGGCTAATGTTAGTTATTGTTATTAATTAGGTATGTATAAGCTGGTATTGTCTCTTACATGGTGTATATGGTTGTGGCTGGGCTGTTGGGTAAAGCAAGAAGTGAAAACACACACACACACAAGAGAAGGTAACAAACAAATGAACAACCAAGCAAACAGCAGTGACAAAAGAAAATAGTAAGAGGGGGAAAAGGCAGACAATAGTGAGAAAATGTATACAAAACCCAATGAAAAAAGAGGGAATGAAAAAATTCAAGCCATGGAAGAAAAAAACAAGAAATAAAATAAGAAGAAAGGAAAATAACTAAACACAATTAGGAATATTATAAGTAAGCTAAAGAGATCAGAGAGTAGTAAGGAAAAAGCAAGAAAAGAAGAAAGAAAAAGGAGCAGCAGCAGTTGGGAAAGAAAAGCTGGAAAGAAGAGAAAATTAAAATGGAGATGGAAAGGATAAAATGCAAGAGTGCATAAAGAAAGAAAGAAAGGACAAACACAAATAAAGGAAAAAACAAGGGTTGGTGCTAAACCCAAAGAGAGAAAATTCTGGGGTCACCTGCCAGCCTAGGACCTCACCTGGTGAGTAATGGATAAGAGAGTGGCATTTGGGCCCTAGATGAAATTCCTGTAGGGACAGGTGTCTGTTTTCCTCACCCATTCTAGAAGTGGTTCATGGAGACTCCAAAGAAGGAGGGGAATCAGGATATTTCAACTGCCTAGAGAGCAGGAGCTCTACTATGAGTGTATGCAGTATGTCAGAGTAAAGTGGGATAGAAGAAAAAAAATGTCATACCTTTGTCTCAGCCAGTAAATGGTATGCATCTGTGCCACTATCTTTTGACTTCACAGTCACATGCATAAGTTCAAGACACCATCACCAATTCTGCTTCCTCCCCACTCCCCGCTACCACCCTACCCTCTACCCCCACCACAACACATCTCTTCAGTTGAATCTCCAAGTGAGGGCTAGTCCAGGGCTGACTGAGGCTTGGAGCCTAGCTCACCCACCACAATCCTGGTGCTGGGGTTAGTGAGGGTAGCCCCTGTCTCCTTTGATGGGACTTGCAACTCTGGCACCCCCTTCCTTTGAACTCTGGTCACCTGGAAATCAGGAGCTGCTCTGGGTATATATGTGGCTAGGGATCAGTCACATCTCTGGTCACCAGGGAAGGTGGGGAACAGGGAAAAAAAATTCACTTTTATGTTTCCACAATGTCAATATGCTGTTTTGTTTCTGAAATGGCTCACAAAAGTCACATTGGGCCAGCGGGCTCAGTCACCAGTCTCTCTCCTTTTATTGTCAGGACTGTTCCGTTTTCTCTCCCTTTATCTATCCCTTTATCTATTCCTTCATCTGAAGCTGTGGGATCCAGGATTATCATCTGTGTTTGTTTCACTTGATTTTCTGTATCTTCATCATCGCACAGGACCTGCTTGGTCACTGCCTAGTCCTTCATCTTGTTGTCTTCTCTCAATTATCTTTTTAATTGCATTCTTCCTACATATTTTACAGAAACCTATAAAAGCGGCCTCTCAGTTTTTTAATGTATTTTTCTCCTTGGTTGTAATTAATCTACTCCTATAGACATTATTTTTCAAATATAGTTTTTTTTTTTTTTTTTTTCAAATCAAGACTTGAAGTTTAAAAAAAAAATAAAACTGGAAAAAAGATAATGTGGCATAATATGCACATACTTTTAAAACAAGCTAACAGGAATCATGATATACTATATGGCTATGTGAAAACCTCTTTAAATATGTTTCTTTTTGAAAAATTCTAATGATAACACAGAAGTTGATTTTAGTTACTGCTAATAAATTATAACTTACAGTTAGGAAATCTTTCCTTAGCAAAAAAAAAAAAAAAAAATGTGTTTCTTCTACTATTATATATTGTATGCTAACCTCAAGGTCAACAGTTTAAACCCACAACTGTTCCTCTGAAACCCTATACAGGTTCACTGTAAGTTAGAAATGACTCAATGGCAATTAACAACAACAACAATAATGATGATCATACAAGGAGCACTGGTGGTGCAGTGGGTTATACATTGGTAAGCTAACACCAAGGTCAGTTATTCAAATCTACCACCTACTTAATGGGAGAAAGACGAGGTTTTCTGCTCCCATAAAGATTTGCAGATTTGACCCTATGTGTCACTTTGAGTTGGAACTGACTTGATGGCACTGAACAAAAACAACAGTAATGATTCAGACAAATAACTTTGGGTTATAATTAATATATTAACTTAGAAAAGTTTTCTTCTTTAAAAATAATTTACCAATTTGTTTTCAGTTAACTTCAGAAGTATAGCAAGCTAATTAAGGGTGATTACATATTCACCCTATTATTCATTTAAAAAATAAACCAGTAAGCTAGCAAATTTTCTCTTGATTACAATTTTAAATAATTATAATGTGAATATCTCTCATATAAAAAGTTTATACAGAATGTACTTAAAAGCAGGAATCTTTTTGAAAACTAAGCGAAGAAGAGCATCACTACTGATTAGAAATTGATGCTAGAACTTAAAAACTGCTTATTTAGATAAAACAGTACAATTAATTGGTCATTGGATCAAAATATTAAAGAATACTAGTTAAAGCATTTTTTGATTTATCACAAATAATTCTTTATATGTGCAGGATACTGAGATGAAAATAATTTAAATGGAGAAGAAAGAAATTAATTTCTTTGAAATAATGTATTTTATGAAAAGTAATGTTTGAGCAGAGATACCTATGAATATGACAGAAATGAAAGGAATTTTAGAGAAGGGAGAATTATTCATTAAAATACCCCTGGTTTTATAGTAGATTATGAGCAAGTCTGTTAAACACAAGATCATTATATCAAATTTACCAGTTGCTCTGCAGGGGAAAGATGAAGCTTTCTGCTCCTGTGAAGAATTAAAGGCTCAGAGACCCTATACAGGGAAAGTATGAGTAAGTGCCGACTTTGTGGCACACAACCACCATAATCACCAAGTACTGAAAGATATTAATAGATAAATGATATTAGGTCAGACACCATATTTCATTTCCTTTACACAAAACCACAAAATATTCATTCTTTTGAAAAAGAGACAATTCTGTGCATCATATTCACAAAAGCTTTTTTCACTTGTTGATTCCTTAGAGTGTAGATGAAAGGGTTTAAAAGTGGGGCAACTGAGGTATTCAGCACAGAAATTCCCTTGGAAATTGATATGCTTTGTTTCACTGATGGTTTAGCATACATGAAGATGCAACTGCCATAAGAAAGGGAGATCACAATCATGTGAGAGGAACATGTGGAAAAAGCCTTTTTCCTCTGACTAGTTGAAGGGATTTTGAGAATTGTCAAGGCAATATAAGTGTATGATATTAGCACCATTATCAATGTTACCAAGAGCGTCACCAAAGCTGAGATAAAACCCATCGTCTCCAGGAGCTGTGTGTCTGTGCAGGAGAGCTGCAGGAGGGGAGTAGTATCACAGTAAAAATGATCCACAATGTTGGAGGCACAGAAGTCAAGATCAAGGCCCAACATAAGTGGTGGAAAGATGACAAAGAACCCAGCAAGCCAACAGCTAAGGATGAGCTGTATACAGATTTTGCTGTTCATGATGGTTGTATAATGCAAGGGTTTACAGATGGCCACATAGCGGTCATATGACATAGCTGCCAACAGGTAAAATTCAGATGCTCCAAGAAGGAAGGCAAAAAACAACTGAGTGATGCAACAGTTATAGGAAATGGTTTTGTCCCCAGTTGCCATGGTAACCAGCAGCTTAGGGATGCATGTGGTAGTATAGGAAATTTCTAGGAGAGAAAAATTCCTAAGAAAAAAGTACATGGGGGTCTTTAGGTGAGGATCCAACAGAGTGAGTGTGATGATGATTAGATTGCCAGTGATGCTTAGTAAGTAGGTGAGAAGTAAGAAAATAAATAACACAACTTTCAATTGTGGGTCATCAGTCAAACCTGCCAGTACAAACATTGTCACTCTTGTATGGTTTGCCATTACACTCCTCTGACTTTTACTGGATCTGAATAAGAAAAAAATAAACAACAATAACAACAACTTCCTAAACGACACTTGCTTCCTATGAAAGAAGAACAGTTATAATTTGTATTTAAGCTAAAGTCAGCAACACAGAGTTTTAGCTAAAATAATACTAAATTGTGATGTCAAAAAAAAAAAAGAATTTTTGTTTCTAGAGTACTTGGTCAGAGAATTATAGTCTAATTTGCAATTCTATGAGAGAATAACCCATGTGATTATAGATGATTTTTATGTGCATAAGTTGCTGTTTGTTGTTTAGTGCTGCCAAGTCAGTTCGAACTCATAGCGACCCTGTTCATGGTTTCCAAGGAGTGGCTGGTGGATTTCAACCACCGACCTTGCAGTTCAAACTGGCCTTGTGATCCAGTGCTTATCCTATAGCTCCAACCAGGATTCCTTGCATGGAAAAAATCTTTTTATTTCTTGATAGTATGCAAGAGTTTGCATTACATGACATTTTCTGATTATTTAGTGAATTTTCATATGAGAACCAAATTTATTTCTGTCATTACAAGAATATCAGGCTGCAGTTTGCATTTGAACACACTCACATGCACACTTACACGTACACCCATATACTCACACAAACTCTGGTCATTACCAAAGACTAATGCTGTTTTATACAACTAATCACAATCAAATGGCTTATTCTTGTCTCATTTATTGTCATGCCTTACTAGATCTGATTTTTACTTGAGTGCCGTTGATTTTTACTCCTACTCATATGACCCATATGACATAGTAGAGCGACACCATCGGGTTTTCTTTGCTGTAATCTTTATGGGAGGGATTTCCAGGTCCTTTCTCCCAGAAGCCTCTTGTGAATTCAATTCAGATATGAATTAATTTTAGATAACTGAATAAGAGAAATAGAGAATATTTATATTTACTGTTCTTGTAAGTAGTTTCATTCTATCAGCTCAGTGTCATTCACCACCCTTCCCATTTCATAATGCAAAGCAAAATAGGCCTGCACAGTCTACAAGTATGTCTGTGGACAGCAAGAAAACAACAACAACAATATGTGTTTAGGAGATGGTAAGAGGTACAAAAAAATAATAAGAAGAGAAAAATAAAGACAAAGCTGCCTGGGAACCTGAAGAAATGAAACATTTTTGGTAGTAGATAGGCCAGTATGTTCAAGGAAAGAAAACTAAAGATGATTAAAATGATGTATAATGTATACAAACTTATAAGGAGGGTAATATTTGAGACAGAATTTCTCTCTTTTACTACTTACCTTCATGATTTTTTTCTGAAGTTCACATTGAACATATGAGTATTTCAGTATGACTTAGAAAAGAAGAAAAAAAAATATTGGGTAAATTTCAAAGTTACAATGAGCCACTGTTGAGACACATTTTAGTATAAATATGTTTCCCTATTGTAATAAGGATGTTCAAATGTCCATTTAATATGCAACTAAAGATATACTGCTTATAATAAGTATTCCTAACACTTGATATATATTAAATGAAAAATAACAAGATTAGGAAGTTGAAATTATCAGGTTTGCACTGATAGTTGGAGAGTAGGAATTAACACTCAAAATTGCATTTCTGAAATTATAATTTTTTTTATATATATAGACCAAATTACAGTGCAATTTCTAAAGAAAAATATAAGTTATCTCTTGGTAAAATTTTATTCCTATATATCTCCATCATGAAATACAAAAATTATATTTTAAGATAAGTAGTTTATATAACAATGTTTTCTGTGTTGATGATATTAAGAGAATTATTTCCATCCTCTATAACACAAATTATTATTTTGGAGAAAATATTCACATGTAAAAATAAGCATATACAAAGAAACAAAAGGTATTTTCAGTATTATTCAAAAGAGTACACAGGAATAAAAGTTGGATTTTAAGGTCCTAGAAAAAGATGAAGATATGAAATAAGGTATTCAATGTATTTGTAGGAAAGAGGCAGTCTCAACAGAAAAAATGACACATGAATTCTTTGTTAGGAAATACAGTGTTCTGCTAATACTTTATATAATGTAGACATATATAAGTGAAGTCATTCATAGGATATTCATATTATAAAACCATTAGAACTCAAAGTTATGAATTTAATTGTATATAGTTGACTAAGATAATATAAATGCCCAGTGAATATTAAATGAAAAATGTTTTCAATACTAAATTATCACTGTAAACTATTCATTATCTTTCACCATTTTCCTTAAATTACATAGATATAACAGGAAAAAGAAGGTTAATATAGCCATGGTTTATAATAAAAGAGAAGTGGGTTAAAATATACCAAAATATTATAGAAATAATAATATGTTCATATTTTGTCAAATATACCTTGAATTACAAAATGAGTTTCTTTAATAATATACACAGATTTATAGAGGAAAAGTAATTTGTGCTGATATATTTAAATATCTTGTCATAATTCTGAACAGACTGCACAGGTACTTCATTACTCCAAGCATAGACAACACTGTACCAAAGAGTCTATGATAATGAAGCAATCTATTATAAGATTTAAAGATTTATGAAGATTAAAAGACTTCTCACCTCTAAATGGAAATCTTGAATATGATTTATCAGTTAATATCACTTCAGATATGCAATCTAATGCTTATTACATATTTACATATTTAATATGTTTGTAATATTACCTACAGTGTTGTAGAAAAGTTAATCAGCACTTAATCACATGGATTATATATGATCTCTGTGCTCTGCAGGAAAATAGTTAAAGATTATGACGAATTCTCAAGGGTAGCTGAGATCCAGGAACACCAGTTCCCAAAGGACCACCAATTTATATGTTATAAGTGTACTTTCTGAGGGCATTAAGTATTTAAAATAATTTATACATATATAGAGAGGTTCAGCATCTTCAGAGAATTCCATATATAGATTGCTCTAGTATATGTCTCTCTTCTCACATATCCATGTTTGGAAATCCAAGACGCATAGAAATTGATGTGGTAGC